TCAACTGCTACTACTGCTGCTACTACAATTCCCACTACGTCTACTACTACAATGGCTACTACTACTTCGGCTACCTACGACTACAACTACGACTGCGACTACGATTACGACTACAACTGCTACTACTGCTTCTGTTACTGCTACTGCTTCTAGTATTACTAATGCTGCTGCTACAAATACTACTATACGATTACTAATGCGACTGCTCCTCCTGCTTCTTTTTCTTCTACTAGTACTACTACTGCTACCACGAGTCCTACGACTACTACTGCTACTGCTACGAACACCACTACTGCTACTGCGACTGCTACTACTACTACTACTACTACTGCTGCTGCTGCTGCTACTACTACTACTACTACTACTACTACTACTATTACTACTAGTACTACTACTGGTACTACTACTACTACTACTACTGCTACCTGTTTCTGCTACTGTTTTACTGATACTACGAGTACTTAATTTGGCTACTTATTACTTTTCTTATACTTCTACTCACTACTAATACAACTACTACTTCTTGTACTAGTTACTTGTTACTAGTATAGTTCTAGTTACTTTTACTAGTACTCTTCCTATGTACTAGTAGTAGTCTACTTGAAATTCTTCTACTACTACTACTTCTAATAATGTTTGAACATACTAATTAGTACTCCTAGCACCACTTGACCTACTACTACTAGTACCACTACGACCACTACGACCACTACAACCACTACTGCTACTACTACTACTACTACTACTACCACTACTTCGACTACTACTACTACGGTTACGATTGCTACTGCTACGCCTACTACTACGGCGACTACCACGACTGCGACTACTACGCCTACAATACCGCGGCTCCGACTACGACTACGACTACTACGACTCCTTACTACTACTACCACTATTCGTGCGACTACGACTGCCAGAGCGGCTACGGTTACCACTGCGACAACCGCGACTACGAACACGACTACGGCCACGTCTACGATTACCTCGACAACTACTAGTCTCACTGCTACGAGTACTAACTCGTGCTACTACTACTACTACTATTCCTACTTTACTACTATACTACTATTTCTTTTTTCTATATTACTAATAATATTTACTACTACTAATACTACTACGACTACTACTTCTACTTTTACTTACTTACTGCGACTACTTACTAGAACTTCTACCTTA